ATGTGGAGTATACGCTTGTTTTCTTACTTGGGATAGGCCTTTTATCGAATCAGACCATTTTAGAGCTAGCAGTATTATTGGAATTAGGGGAGACATTTGTCTGAGCGGGCACAGTTAATCGTCGAGACTGAGCCCAGCCAGTGGGCAGGCCACCCATGACCCAGCCCCCCTCCCCCTCCCAAGCACTCACTGCACCCGGCTACAGGCGTGCTCCTTTGTGAGCTGCCCGAATGCGATACATATACAGTTGCCCGTCTAGCCCGGAAAAGGGGATTGAGGCGTGGAGATGAAGGATTCAACTATCCTGAAGATGGAAAGGACGTATTCACGGAACAGTTGGAAAGTGTGCCACTGCGTCGAATCACCATTCTGCCCTGGCATTGCCTCGAGAAAGAGGTTACACGTGAAGGTCACTGAGAGTGGGACAATGACAATTTTGGATCAGATGTAAACATGATAAACTGGGAGGCGATTTGTTATGATGCGCTACGCCTTGCGCGGGTAATTTGTGAAAGCCCGATCGGTTCATTTTTTTCTCTTTTTTTTTTTTTGCTGGAGTGGGTACGACTAACCTGCAATGGAATTTAACTTTACTCCTAGGAGGGTGGTTAACGATCATTGCGGATACGCGTATACGTGAGGCACTGGTTTACTCCCAACCTCCGTTCAATTGTTTTCAGTGTGGGGTCTGATAGGTGGGGCCCGATAATGGCTCTGTCTAGCATCCAAAAAGAAAGCGTCACCCTGAGTACGTATCGACCACAACTTTAAATGGACAACTGTTGTCGAAAATGACCGTTTGTTGTCATCTCCCCGTTCGCGAATCCTGAAGTTATGCTCCCCCACTGAGGCTTTTAGGCGGGTTATAGAGCATGAGGGATGTGGGTTCCACATTTTCAAGCAATAGTTGTCAACAGTTGATTGATGTTTTGTCAAAATAAATTAGCATATACGGCAGTTCAGTGTACTTTATGGCCGCCTGATGTGCCCGTCGTTGCGTTTTCGCAACGCTGATGGCGCCCGGTGTGCCCTTCGTTGCGATTTCGCAACGCACATTTTTTACGTTTTTCTCGAAAAACTTTTGCTGCAGGCAAAAACTATTTTCGATTCCATGCAAGGCCCTGGTAGGAGCATAGCATATTTTGATTTCATCGATTTTCATGATGGTCAATATTCCTGGGCATAAATGGGTTAAGGGGCCCTCTGCTGGTCTTAGCGGGCCCTTTGTGTGTCTGGGAGGCCCCCCTGAGTGCCTGAGAGGGCCCTCTGTGTACCTGAGAGGGCCCTCTGTGTGCCTGAGAGGGCCCTCTGTGTGCCTGAGAGGGCCCTCTGTGTGTCTCAGAGGACCCTCTGTGAGCCTGAGAGGGCCCTCTGTGTACCTGAGAGGGCCCTATGTGTGCCTGAGAGGGCGCTCAGTGTACCTGAGAAGGCCCTCTGTGTGCCTGAGAGGGCCCTCTGTGTGCCTGAAAGGGCACTCTGTGTGTCTCAGAGGGCCCTCTGTGTACCTGAGAGGGCCCTGTGTGTTTGAGAGGGCCCTCTGTGTGCCTGAAAGGGTCCTCTCTGTACCTGAGAGGGCCCTCTGTTTGCCTGAGAGGGCCCTCTGTGTGCCTGGGAGGGCCCTCTGTGTGCCTGAGAGGGCCCTATGTGTGCCTGAGAGGGCCCTTTGTGTGTCTCAGAGGGTCTTTGTGTGCCTGAGAGGGCCCCCTGTGTGCCTGAGACGGCCCTCTGTGTGCCTGAAAGGGCCCTGTGTTTGCTTCACAAGGCCCCTCATTGGCCTATAGGTGTCCTCTTATAGTCCTCAGGGGGTCCCTAAAAGAGTTCTACAATACTTTTTCTTTTTGCGAATAAAATGGGAAGTGGTCAAAAGGGCCCTTGAAGTCGTTTCAATTTTTTCGTGTTATAAAAAAACGTTTTGTCTAGGCTCCAGGGGGGATCCTAGGACCCCCAGGGTCCCCCCTTGGCCCTTGGATACGCCACTGAGCCTATCCTAACCTAATAAGCTGTCACACTCTTTGCACTGCTACAACACGAAACGCTCGGCTCTGCGACGGGCCGGCGGTAGAGTGAAAGAGATAAGCACCGCCGTTGAGACAGATTCAATAATTGTACGGCCGATGGGAGGGCCAGAATCTCACTGCTGCTACGCTTCAAGCAGTCAGATGCGAACAATTTCAAGATTCTTCAAGATAAACAATTTATCGGGGTATCTTTGATGCAGCTAACCTGCGCTCACACTCAACTCGGCGGGACACTGATCTGGCTCACCTACGCGTGAGGACCGAACCAGAGAGGCGGCGCATGCTCTACAACATCCTCCAATGATATTAACGCATGCCCCACGATTTTAGGAATCTGTCGGTTGGGAAGTGCGTTCGATTTCAGAGTTGTATCTGCGTTTTAACCCTATTCCTGGCGGGGGGGCCTCAGGAGCCCCCCCTGAGGTTTTTTGGTTATTTCTCCCAAACGCGTTGAGCTAGGAAGCTCAAATTTTCTGACTTTTCCTAAAAGGCTTCTACGCAACATGTCTGAAAATTTTGAGCTGATCTGACCTCAGGTCAGGTCACCAGAGGCGGTTTGGTGACCCTACCTCAGAAAAGTTTGCAATCACGCCAGAGCTAGAGTTTTTGACCGATCAATTTCTTCTCTTCAGGCTTTAGTTAGGGTACCAGTATGTGCAATTTGTATATCTCGGAATTTTGATATCGGTGACCTAAGGTCAGGTCAGTTTCGCGACCTCCCCATTATAAGTCAATGGGGGAAAAATCAACTCCCTGTTTTTACCACTAAAACGGGTCGGAATGGCCCCATATACCATACATGACTTCATATACGATCAACCTTCACTACCTTGAGGTCTGTTTTGCTGTTGGGCAGCTGTGAGGTCATGTGACGTCATCAAAGGTCACCAAAGGTTTTTGGCCAATAACTCCGTACAGGAACAAGATACAGATGCGTGGATGGTCTCATTGTGTTCAGCTCGTCAAGACGCATCGAATGATATACATGATGACCTCGAGGTCACGTGACCTGAGGTCAACCTTTGACCTTGACCTTTCGAGGTCAACATATATATCATTCGATGCGGATTGACGAGAGGATCACGATGATGCCCTTAGTTTGTTCCTATCTTGACTAATTCGAAAGTTATTCGAGAAAAACTCTCCATATCTAGCGCCGCCATTTTGACTTTTTCGACCCCTGTGACGTCATCTTTGACCTGACCTGAAAATGACCTCAGTAAAAATTGTAGATCTTGACCGTGCGTATCCGATGCCGTTTACCGTTTGTCGCTGCGATGTGTAGTTTTTGAGATCTGAAGGGGGGCCGAATCGGCCCCCCCCCCGCCAGTTTCTTGTCCCGGCGGAGCCCGCCAGGAATAGGGTTAACCCTCGCCCGTATTGGTGTTTTTCCATGCGGGAACGTATGAGGGGGGGGGGGGGTCCGTTGGACCCGCTTGCCGTTTCGCCCCGGATCGAGCTAGAGATTCGCGGAAAAACGAGCGTGCTGCCCGTGACGAGAGGAAGCCGATGATACCCAATTTTAAGGTCTTAGGTCATTGGGTGACCTTCCAGCTCAGGTCAATGACCCAAAAGTCGAGAAAATCGGGACCTGTTAGAACGTCGTAAAGTGTGGCTGCTATGGGGTTTTTCGAGGTGCTGATCACGAATATCATGTTAGTTTTGATCACAGATGATGCTTTTATGCCTTTAGGCCAGGTCGGTTCAGGTCAGGTCAGGTCATCCAGTAGGGGTCCTGCCGGGTATTCGTAGTAGGTGTCAACCGCCTCTGACAGCTTCGTAACTTGTTACGAAGGCACCAGAACAATTTCGTAAGTGTTCATTTGGTTGCTAAATTCGAATTCAGCTAAAAAAAACTGGCCTAGAATCATGTAAAACTCGAAAAAGTGAACCGAGGTCATCGAAGGTCATTGACCTGACCTGACCTTCAGGTGACCTTGACCGGGCTTGACACCCACCGTAATGCATGGGACGAACATCATTTCACATGTTTGAACGTTTATAACCGCAAAAAGACTAGAAACGCGCGGATGATGAGAGCTGACATACGCTGATTCGCCATTCCGGCAAAACATGGTTTCGAGAAATAGGTCACATGTCAAAGGTCATTTGGGTCAGGATCATGAAATTTACAGAGTAGGTATAAAATTGATCACCTCGAGGGTACTGAAAGTTTCGTTGCGATCGACCTCTTTTTCCGTGAGTTATTCGCGGAAAACCGAGGGCGGGGGTCCGTTCGACCCCCCCCCCCCCCCTATGCGGGCGAGGGTTAAGGTATGAATGAGGGATTTGGTATGTGTACTGGCGACTGCGTGCTGTGATTTATGAGTGGGTTTTAACTCAGATTCGATACTCAGAATAGCCATTTTACTGTGGAGAGTGTTTTAATTGTCATATGCAAATGCCAAATGCAATTAACTGCGTCCTGCGATACGTAAGTTGTTCATTTCTTTTTGAATGATCAGCGGTGAACTGGGCGGGGACGAGATCGGGCAGTGTCCCAAAATTTGCCAGTTTCGGTGGAAAGTAACATCAAAATAAAAAAAATTCCACTCTCAAGTCTCATCCCCAATTTTCCAGAGCGATTTTTCACTCCCTAGTTTACCAATTAAGAGCATCTGCGTGCACCTTGTACCTCCCTCCATATTCGATTCAATGATCTTTTAGGCAGCTCCCACATCCTCCAACACTCACAAATTAATTGTTGATATATATTTTCTGCTCTTTTTTGTACTCTTCTAACTGGCAATTTTCCACTCTCAGCCCTCCTTATAGTCACAGTGTATAATGTATATAACTGCTTATAGTGACGAATCTTCCCCTCTGACACCCAAGCCAAAATATAATTTTGGGACACTGAGGTCGGGTGATGGGTTCGTGGTGTCATTCGCAGCAAGCATCACTTGGCGAGGCACCCGGGTCCAAAGCCATCCAAAGCTACCATTCAACCATTCGAACACATTTTTTTTTTTATTAAAAAAAACTATTATTAACATTTCGTGCGCAATGCGTATAGTGCCTCTGCAACGAAAGACGTGCATCAGCCTCATGCATTACATTTCAGACTGTTGTGCAAATGGGGAGGACGAAAAGGGTGCGCCGTAGGAAGCGGGCCGTGTCCGCCGAGAGCTCGGTTGATGTAGATGGCCGGCTGTCCGAGCTGGTGGGCTGGATGCGGCGCCGCCGGTGGTCGGGACCGGGCCCTCTGAGGCCGGCCCTGTTCCCGGACACGGGCCGCGGCCTGCTGAGCCGGCAGCCGCTGCAGCCCGGCGCCACGCTCGTCTCGATCCCGCTCTCGCTGCTGGTCAGCTCGGCGACGGCGCTGCGCTCCGAGCTGGGCGCGGCGCTGCGGGCCGCCCGGCCGGCCGTCTCGGCCCAGCTGGCCGTCAGCCTGTGGCTGGCGCTGGAGCGGCGGCGCGGCGCCGACTCCGCCTGGCGGCCGTACCTGGCCTCGCTGCCGAGCGCCTACACGACGCCGGCGTACTGCGAGCCGCGCGAGCTGAGCGCCGACCTGCTGCCGGAGGCACTGCTCTCGGCGGCGCGACTTCAGCACGCCGCTGTTCGTCGAAATCTACTGCGTGCCCGGCGGGTGCTGCGCGAAACATCAGCGCCGTGCGTGGCCGGCTGGGAGCTCTCTGAAGAGGAGCTCCGACACGCCTGGGTGACGGTGAAGACACGCGCCATGTGTGTGGAGCCGGAGGAGGACCTCGGAAACGCGCCGTCCGGCCTCAAAGACGACAACTGCGCGCTCGCACCGTTCCTGGACCTCTTCAACCACCGGTCGGGCGCCACCGTCTACAGCAGCGTCTCCGACGGCTGCTATCGGCTGATGACGGAGCACGGCGTAGCCGCCGGCGAACAGGTCTTCATCGACTACGGCCCGCGTGACAACCTGCAGCTGGTGCTCGACTACGGGTTTGTGGTGCCGGGCAACGAGCGAGACGCAGTGCCAGTGCCTGCCGAGTGGGTACCTCTGCCCGCGGAGGCTCAGCGCGCGGCCGACGACGCTCGCCTACGCTCCTTTCTGTCCGTGGGTCGTGAGGGCTACTCCCGCGACCTGCTGACGCGGCTGTACCTGGCGGCGCTCCCGGAGCAAGAGTTGGCCTCCGTGGACGGCCAGGAGGTGCAGTGTATGAGCCTGCAGGAGCTGACTGCTCCGGCGGCGGTGCGCCGCGCGCTGGCCGCCCTGCTGGTGCGTCTGGTGCGGCACCTGGAGTCGTGTCTGGCGGCGCAGCGCGCCATGCCGGCGCCCAGTGACGCGCTGCGGGTCTGCTCGGCGCTGCTGCGCGAGTGGCTGCTGGTGCTGCAGGGCCACGTATGGGAGCTGGGCCGGCGGCCCGGCGCCGACGGTGTGGTGCGGCCCGTGTACGGCACGCGGCTGGGTGATGTCGTCACAGAGAGCGTCATTCATGGCGCGGGCGGGGAGCTCTACGTGGAGATGTGTGCTGATGGGTAGCGCTTCAGGTTATCCACCTTCGGCTACTGATCACGAAAGTAGCAACCAAGTGTTACTCACAACTACTGACCATTGGTTGTAAGTCTTTGTTAACCACTTACTACTTCTGTTATTTGTTATGTAACATGGTTTGTTGTTGTGTACAAATTAGCTAACGTCTCAGGCTTTACTGGAATTAACCGTTTGGTACAAACAATATGCTTTTACTGTGCAATATCTATTGACAAATAGCTGTGAAAAAATGTAAGTGCACTAATGCCTCAGGTTTTGTCTAATGGTAATCGTTTAGTCATCTAATCGTGGTTCAGTCTTGTAGGTATTTACATTTACGTGTTGTGCTTTACATCTCGTTTGTGCTTTGTGCTCACAATCTGCTATGTATTGTCTCGTTTCTGTAACTTGTGCGTAGCTACTAGCCGGCTGGTGTCGAGCGTTAACGTATTCTTACATCGTTACATTGTATTTTACTCGGTGTGTTATTGGAATTCACTCATCACAGCAATGTGCCCTTATAATCGGTTTGTTGTGGACATGTGCTAACGTCTCAGGCTGTATTGTGGTCGCAGCGATGGCTGTGTCACAGGGCTTTCATTCTTGCCTTCCAATAAACATTGAACTAAAATGAGTGTTTTGCCGAGGAGGGCGAAGTATTTTACTTTCTCTGCTTGGAAATTTACGCTGAACTAGGAAACTCTTGATCGGCCTAGTTTTGCGATTAGTTATACATATTTATTTTTAGAGCGAAACTTTTTCGGACTGGAAATGTAACTTTTAGCTTCCTGCCCTTGCTTTCTGAATTGCGACCATCCTACTTTCGCTTCTAAACCTTCAACCGACTTTTGAATTTTGCCTTTACAAATTTGAAGAACATGCAATCATTCATCGAGTATCGACCTGAAGATAAATTGATGACCTGGGTTTTCAAGATACATGATCTATTGTGATACACTGTGAACGACACATTGTATTTTCAGATCAGCTGAAACATGGGAAGAACGAAAAGACATCGCCTTCGGAATCGCGCTAATGCTACGGAGAAACCCATTATCGTGTCGTCCGAGCTGGCCGAGCTGGTGGTCTGGATGCGGCGCCACCGGTGGTCGGGACCGGGCCCTCTGAGGCCGGCCCTGTTCCCGGACACGGGCCGCGGCCTGCTGAGCCGGCGGCCGCTGCAGCCCGGCGCCACGCTCGTCTCGATCCCGCTCTCGCTGCTGGTCAGCTCGGCGACGGCGCTGCGCTCCGAGCTGGGCGCGGCGCTGCGGGCCGCCCGGCCGGCCATTTCGGCCCAGCTGGCCGTCAGCCTGTGGCTGGCGCTGGAGCGGCGGCGCGGCGCCGACTCCGGCTGGCGGCCGTACCTGGCCTCGCTGCCGAGCGCCTACACGACGCCGGCGTACTGCGAGCCGCGCGAGCTGAGCGCCGAACTGCTGCCGGGGGCGCTGCTCTCAGCGGCGCGCGGTCAGAGGCGGCTGCTGCTGCGGCAGCTGGAGCGCGCCCGGCAGTTGCTGCGCCAGACATCAATCCCGTGTACGGCCGGCTGGGAGATCTCCGAAGAGGAGTTCCGTCACGCCTGGTTCACGGTCAACACGCGCGCTGTGTTCCTGGACCCGTCACACGCTCCCGGGCTGTTCTCTGAGGACAATCTAGCGCTGGCACCGTTCCTCGATCTGTTCAACCACTCTCCGACAGCGAATATGAGCAGCCGTGTCGTCGGAGATCACTATGAGCTCGTCACCGAGGACCGTTTCTCCGCTGGCGAGCAAGTGTTTATCAACTACGGCCCGCACGACAATCTGAGACTGCTGCTCGACTACGGGTTTGTGGTACCGGGTAACAGCCAGGACGCTGTGCCGGTGCCGGCCGAGTGGGTGCCCCTACCGGCGGCGGTTCGGGACGACTCGCCCTCCGGGGACTTAACCGTCGGCCGCTCGGGCGTCTCCTGGGGTCTGGCAGTCCGCCTGTACCTGGCTGGTCTGACGGCGGCTGAACGGGCTGCCGGCCGCGCCGCAGATGTGTGGAGACTGGCTCCAGAGGAGCTGACGGCGCCGTCGGCGGTGCGCCGCACGCTGGCCGCCCTGCTGGTGCGTCTGGTGCGGCACCTGGAGTCGTGTCTGGCGGCGCAGCGCGCCATGACGGCGCCCAGTGACGCGCTGCGGGTCTGCTCGGCGCTGCTGCGCGAGTGGCTGCTGGTGCTGCAGGGCCACGTATGGGAGCGGGGCCGGCGGCCTGACGCTGACGGTGTGGTGCGGTCCGTGTACGGTACGCGGCTGGGTGATGTCGTCACCGTCAGTGCTACTCGGGAAAATGGCGAGGAGTGCTACATGGTGGAAAAGGCTGCAGTCAAACCTTGAAGGCTAGTGAAATGTCTCAGTGGTGACGTAAGTTGGTGCTAAAGCTGTGACATTGTTTCAATACTGTTCCGTGCATGTACATCCGTGACGACACATAACCTGTTTTTTTTTTTTTTTTGCATGCATTTGCTGTGAGACATATGTCGAGATTGTTACATTCATGACTGTTGTTAGACTCCAGCAACCGTTTTTGCAATATAGACTGCTGAGATGGATGTCCGAGCATTTTGTTGTCCCTCAGTAGTTTTTTTTCTTATCAAGACATTATTGTAAGATTGAGCTTATCTTCTGCTTGGGAGACACTGTTCAGGTGGATTAGTAGGCACGCCTACACACGCGGCTTTCCTGGTCAAACGGGAAGCGTTAGAAGATTCGATTCGATCAAATATGACGAGCTCGACGAAAATCTTTGGCCTTACTTTTGATCCACATATGCAGTTGTAATATTCGACGATTCTTCACGATTACCCCGACACGCACCTTATGCATGCCCAAACCCTAGCTGACTGCTGGTCAATCACATGTGGGAAACTTGTGAAGCCGTCCGACTGAGTTGACCTGTACCCGCACCAATTTCCACTGCCACTCCATCCGACTCTGACTGAAGGGTGCCACTATCGCCCGACCCTGTCACCATGACGCGGCACTTGCCCGGTGTTCACGCGCCTGTGTGTGACCGCCGTCTCCGTCACGTTTCAGTGGGCCGGCCGCGGCGGGGACGCAGTGAGGTGGCGGAGGCCCGGTGACGCTGCCAGCTGAGCGGTACTGCCCCTCTCCTGAGGTGTCGGTGGTCTGAGAGGTCGGGCGGACCGACGTGACCCGCCGGCCGCCTGCCATGCTGCTCTGGCGGCTGACGGTCCGCGGTGGCCCGCTGTGCCGGCGGGCGCGCCTGACCTGGCCGGCGCCCCACACAGGTCAGTGACCGCCGACGGGGCGGGCTGGGGAATATTGCCGGAGAGGTGGCGTGCGGTGCGAGAGTGTGGATCTGGATTTGGCTCTGGTGAGGTTTTCTACGCTTCCGCCCTGTCAAATGGGGAATGTTTACACTGCAAACACTTTTTGTAACCTTTCTTTCGCCTTGAACTCTAGTTGTTCAACCGAACATGTTGTGCTATTCTGATCAAACCGGATCAGAATCTTTCTAAATTTTCCGTATAGCTACTTGCCTCCGACCGGGTATATTTCGTAGCGCCTAAGACGAAGTGACTCGTTTACTAAGGACCCTCGAGAATAAACCATTTTGGATAGTAGAATCTAGAACTAGCACTCCTGTACTGTATTTTGACCTCTAGACTGTACCCATTTACCCATCAACCTATTTAAAATGGTAACACTTGTTTCAAGAGTTATTTTAGCCCGAAAACATGCAGTACACACAGATAGCCATCGTCCTCTTGTTGCAATCTTGTGATATGTTAATAAATGTAAATAGTGGTTTATTGAACGTGATACACTGAACACTCCTAATTTACATCCTTATTGTAAACTGCACACGATTGTCTTGTCAACATAGCATCTAACCACTGTGTTGTCCTCCGTTTGTAGTGCTCTCCTCCGTAGTTCTCAGCTCCTCGCACGCTGCTTGGTGCCGCTCCCGCTCGCTCTAAACGCCCCGCTGCCGCTGTGTGTGCCCGCTTCCCCTGTCGGCGTCCCTCCCGCGCCCAAACCTTTTAGCACAGAGCGCTCTGAACAGACGTCGCTCCTCCTGACTCGCCGCTCGCCTGCTTCCAGCGGCCGTCACCGCCGGCGCGCACTGGCTGGCCGCCGGACCCAGCCGCGGCCGCAGACGTAAGACTGGCACTGAGGAGCTGACATAGGGTATATCGAGAGACTCGAGAGTAGCCAGGATGGAGGAGTTGACAGGGTATATTGAGTTGAGAGACGGAGGATAGCGGAATCGGAGGAGGTGCGGTAGCGAGCGGGCTTCTCTGGTCGCTTCTGGAGTTTCGCAGTGAAGAGACTGAGTGGATGACAAACGGAAGATGGTGCATGTCGAAACTGCTAATATCTTTTCCCGTTTACTCTTACGATCAGCTTGCATTCGTAAATGTTACTAGCTTTAATTGTACAGAATATTGTATGATCAATAGTGCTGACCCCATCGGTGATACTCTTGAATATAATATGCCCTCTTGATGTCTGACCTTCCATTGTTAGGGACCACGTCTCGACTTTCTCCGAAACTGCGAACTTTGCGCACTGGTTATGCCAAAATTATTCTAGAGCGTCTGATATATTTCGACACACCCGTCACCGCACTCTATTATGTTGTGCCCTATAGGTATTGATGCACAAACTTGACTTTCTTTTTCACTCGTCTGACGCTCTGGGGCGCCGGGTGCCGTATGCTGCAGGTCTGCTTGCCAGCCCTCCCCTAGTCCGTGGCTGCTTTCACCCTGGGGCCTCGACGCTCTCGCAAGAGAGCCTCGGTCCTCTGCAGGGACCGGATGTCTCCTCCTCACAAATGGTCAAAACCATGCTCGGATACGTCTGGCCGAAGGTAAGCGCCTTGGGTGGCGCAGGGAGGGTGGTATAATATGGAGGGGGTTCGGTATCGCGTAGAGGGTGTAACAAAATGTGAGGTCATCTCCCCTGCAAAACCCAGATGACTGACGACCATGTCACCAGAGTTCAATAGACACTGTTCTGAGTTGAATTAACACATTCTTGTTTGGGAGTACTGTGTTTCTCGAGAACAATTCTCATTCATGCCCTGCACATCACAGATAAGCCTCTAACTGGCACCCACCCCACATGCTGACCTCCCCGTATTAACCAGGACGACAAGGAGAGCCGGCGCCGAGTGGTGGCCGCCGTCGGTCTGCTGGCCGGCGCCAAACTGCTGAACGTCCAGGTGCCGTTCATATTCAAATCGCTGGTGGACTACCTGAACACGCACACGGGAGAGATGCTGACGCTGGCCGAGCCGGTCAGCACAGTGACCACCTACGCCACCGCGCTGGTGATCGGATGTGAGTGGCACTGGGCCGGTCCTAATGCTGGGAGACGGAGGAGTGAGGAGGCCAGAGGGGAGAGGGCAATGTAGCAGCCCTACAGTCTGCTGCTCGAAAGTGTCGTTAGGTGTTGAAACAACGCTAATCTGGGTGACATTCATAAGTTCTTTGTTGTATAGCATTCTTTCTCACATAGTTGTTTTACTTTTACATTTGTTCTGTACTACCCCGTTTCATCTTGCTTGTGCTCTTCTCCTTTTGGTCTTCCCCTATTCTTCCCCTCACCCACCCCCTGCGCCCCTCAGACGGTCTGGCGCGCGCCGGAGCGGCCGCCGGTAACGAGCTGCGTAACGCCGTGTTTGCCACCGTGGCGCAGCGCTCCATCAGGAAGGTGGCCAAGAACGTGTTCCTGCACCTGCACGAGCTCGACCTGAGCTTCCACCTGAGCCGGCAGACGGGAGCGCTCTCCAAGGTGAGACCCGAGGGGAGAAGGGCTTACATAGACTGGGAGTGGCGTGATCTGGCTCTCTTCTAATTAAATTCATGCTGCTAATTATGTGGGCTACCTATACCTATCGCTAATACAGCCACGCATCGCCCGCTATCTGGCGTGTAGCACGTCGCGCTGTGTCGCGTTGTTGTTGTTGTTGTTGTTTGACCCCCCGGCTACCGCCGGAGCGGTAGCGTAGCCGACCGGCTCTTGTGGGCCATGTATCCGGCGGCCAAGGCCGCCACCACGTCGTCGCGCCGGACATCGTGGGCCGCGCCGATGATGTTGCCCAGCGCACGGAGCCGGGGGCCGTACAGGCACGGGCATTCCAGCAACACGTGCGCCGGGGTGTCCGCTGCTTCAGAGCAGACTAGGCAGCGGCCCGCTGGGCATTCCTTGTCGTCGCATTGAGCGCACTCAGGTGTAGGTCTTCGACCAATCCGGTGGAGGTACTGCTCCGATCGGGCCCAGTGGCCAGACCGGAGCTGGTGGATGTCGACGGCCTCCTCCCTGGTGGCGGTCCGGACCGGGGCGGGGGCGCGGTCCCCCATGACGGTGCGGTACCAACCGGCCAGCCAGTCCGCCTGCCACTTCCTCTTGGAGTGCCGCGCGACAGCCCGCGTAAGAGTACGGACATCCACCGGCGTTGACTGCTGAGGAAGAGCGGCCGCCTCCTTGGCCAGGGCGTCCGCTCTTTCATTACCGGCGAGCCCACAGTGGGCCGGGACCCATTGCAGCGTGACCGTGCTGCCGTCGGCCGTCATGCGCCGGAGCTGGGCCCACAGCCTGGCGCCCAGTGTCGAGGCCTGGGCCGCAGCGCCTCCAGCCAGGAGCAGCAGAGCCGCCTTCGAGTCCAGGCAGGCGACTACAGGCACTCCTCTGCAGCCCGGCAGCTCGGCGGCCGCCTCCAGAGCTGCCAGCAGCGCGGTGAGCTCCGCGCGGGTGCTGGAACAGAAGCGGCCCGCCGGCACCCGTACCTCCAGGTCGTCTCCGTTTGGTGGGCGGAGCAGCGCGCCGCCGCCACCGTTCTCCACGCCGCCCTCCGCCGAGCCGTCCGACCAAACCCATACGGCCTCGGGCGGGAGCTCTCGGATGCGCTCCTCCGCCGCGGCTCGGCGGGTCTCTGCAGATGTCGCGCGGCTGGCTCGCGGACCGAGGTCCAGATGGAATTGGACGGCAGTACTGTCGGTCCACGGCGGCAGGGAGTGGTGTAGTCGGGTCTCCACTGGGATGTCTTTAGCCCCGGCGGCTGACAGCGCAGCGAGCCCCACCTCTCTCCATCCCTCGGTGGTACGTAGTCGGCGCGGGACGACCGCTTCACCCACTGTCCTCAGCGGGTCGCCCTCCGGGAGGGACGCGGCGAGGCCCACCATTCTTGCCGCTAGCGTCACGCGGCGGGACCGCGCGTCTGCCATCCCGGCCTCCGACATTAGGGCGTGGACGGGCGTAGACGCTGCGCAGCCTGTCACCACACGGGCCGCGGCACGCAGCTCTCTCGCTATGATCTCCACGTGTGTTGGGGGGGTCGCCGGCAGCCAGGCGGCTGCAGCGTACTCCAGCGCCCCCCTGACGTACCCATTTGCCACAGTCCTTAGTTGCCGTTCCTCCAGACCCCACGAGCGTCCTGTCATCTTCCTGAGCTGGGCTACCCTGGGCCTGACTTTCCGGCGGAGTTCCGCACAGTGTGGGCCGAAGTGCAACAGGCGGTCAAACGTCACTCCCAGGAGGCGGAGTTTGGGACCCGCTTTCACCGGGGCGCCTGCCACCTTCACCGTCACATCTTTGGCATCCTGGGCCCATTGCGAGAGGACAATGGCCTGGGTCTTCTCACCCGCCACTACCATCTTCCAGCGGGTCGCCCAAGCTGCGATGGTGTCGGCTGCTCGCTGTGCTCTCTCCCGGGCCAGGGCGATAGAGCATCCGCTGCTGAGGGTGGCGGTGTCGTCCGCGTACATGTAGGTGGATGTACACGGGATACACCGCAGTTCCAGGATCAGGTCGGCGGCCCACAGGGTGTACAGCGTCGGAGCCAGAACGCTGCCCTGCGGGAGGCCGGCTCTGAAGACGCGCTCTGCGCTCCGGGTGCCGTTCACCTCCACCGACGCCCGGCGGTCACGCAGGAACGCCCAGATCCAGCGGGTCATACAGGCGGGCAGGCCCAACCGCAGGAGCTTCAGCTGTAGCATACGGTGGTCGATGACGTCATAGGCGCGGCTGAAGTCGTATGCCATAAGAACGAACTTCTCGGCCGTGACGCCGTCCACCGGCTTCCCTCTCGGTTTGGGCTTGTTCCATCCGTCCTGGACCGTTTGGATCAGCCTTCCCAGGTTCTCTTCCGCGGACCGTCCTCTTCGGAAGCCGACCTGCTCAGATGGGACCATCTCCTCCCTCTCCGTCAGGTAGGTCATGCGTGCAGACACCATTCGCTCCATCAGCTTCGCCAGGTGTGACGTCAGCGCAATGGGTCGGTAACTTGATGTTAGCTTGGGGTCCTTTCCAGCCTTGGGGATCGGAACGATGACGGCTCTGCGCCAGTCAGCCGGTACCTCTCCCCGCAACCAGGACTGATTGATGACGCGCAGGAGCAGGGCCTTGGCTCTCGGGCCGAGATGCTTCAGATGCTCCGCGCAGATATTGTCTGGTCCGGGGGCTTTCCTATCGCTCATCTTCCTCAGTTGGTTGTTCAGCTCGTTTTCCGTGAAGGGGCCGCAGCAGCCGCCGTCTTCTCTCTGACCCGCGCACGCGGTACACGGGAGGCGGCTTAGCTGGTTAAGCTCCTGTTTCACGACGCGGTCCCGTTTCCTGTTACGGACCTGTCGACTAACTCTGGAGTAGGTGCGCACGAAGGAGGTCGCCTTCTCCAGGTCCTCCACGGCGAGGCCGCGGTCCCCTTGGAGAGCGTGGCCGGGGCACGCCTGCACCGATCCCTCCATCTTGCGTAGCACCTTCGTGACTCTCCCGATGTTAGTCGGCTTGTTGAGCGTGGTAGAGGCGAACTCACGGAAACTGCGGGTCTTGGCCTCCTCTTCTACCTTGGCGGCCCGACGTTTGGCTTCCAGCCATCTATCCTTAGCCGCACGGGATCGGTCCTGCTTCATGGCGTCCCTCGCCTCCCGGCGCTCCGCCACCGCCTCGACGAGTTCTGGGTCCAGGGCCCATGGCCGAGGGTCGGCCCGCGCTCCCCGCGGAATTGCGGTGGTGCTCTGGTACAGGAGGACCCGGTTGAATAGTCCCAAGAGCTGCTCCGTGGAGGCGTCTGGCGGCGGCGGGGTCGACTCGAGCACCGTCTCAATGCCAGCGCTGAAGCCGTCCCAGTCTGCCTTATGGAAGGCCCACTTGGTCTTCCTGATGCGTCTCGGCCGGCCCCCATGACATGTGACCTCGATGAGTTGAGGGAGGTGGTCACTGCCGAGATCCTCACCGACAGTCCACTCACACCTCCTGGCCAGGCCACGGTTGCAGGCAGTGACATCCGGGGCCCCCGTGTTGCCTCGATAGTCGGCGTGAGTCGGGGCGCCGGAGTTGAGGGTGTGCCAGTCACCGGACGCGATCCAGTCAGCCAGCCGTTGACCCACGTCGTCCGCGTCGTCACACCGATGATCCCATGAAGGGTGGTGCGCGTTGAAGTCCCCGGTGACTATGCAGTCGCTGTTTGTTCTGAGGGAGAGAGCGAAGTTGTCCACCCGGTCGTCATTCTCACCCGGACGGATGGGCGGCCTGTAGAAGTTGTGTATGTCGATAGACGGTTGACTAGCTTGTTGACTAGAAGAGGGCAGAAACAGTCGAACGCCACACCACTCCGTGACATCGTCAGAGCCGTCGAGCGGGCGGTCCTCAAGCCTTTGGAAGTGAAGTCCGTCCCTGATGTAGATCGCGACGTCTCCTCCTTTCACGGCGCCGTCTGATCTACGCCCGCGCGCTCTCCGGGTGACCGAGGCGGTCTGGAAACCAGGGATGTTGATGGTCTTGTTCGCCGGCATTTGGGCCTCCTGAATCGCCACCACGTCTACCTTCTTGTCCGAGAGCCAGCGTTGAACCTCCAGCAGCTTCCTGCGAAGGCCTTCCGCATTCCAGCTCATGACGAGTAGTCGGCTTCGGACACGGCAGTTTCTACGGTAGCGGCGGTTCTTCTTCGCCCTCCTGCTGCGGCGACCAGCCCCAGCCCGGCCACCCATGGCCCCGCCGCCCGCGCCGGCGGCGGGGGGCGCCTGGCTATTCATTCAGCGCGGGCCGGGCCGCTGCGAAGGGCCGGCCATCGGCCCTCCTGTCGCGGCACCCGGTCCCGCTGGTGGGCATCCGCTGCCCCAGGCGTGTCGTTGGAGAAGATGAAATCCGCGACGACGTGGTGGCGCGTCGGCCACCGGCGACCGGCCCCCGAGGGGGCGATCCGGATCCCGTTTGGTTTCCTCGGGCGCTCTCCACGTCCGAGGCGGGGGAGGTCCCCCACACCGCCCACCTCGAGAAGGCGGGATCCATCCAGGCGGCGTCGTCCTGGATCACGGCGCGCTGGCTGCCGGCGTCTCAGACATCTTGAACTGCGCCATGACGATGATGTAGGTGACGATGGTGGACCAGACGCTGATCAGGGTGGAGCGCCGCAGACGGAACAGGCCCAGGTCGCCGGCCGTCTCCAGGTCGTGTTGGACGTTCCTGAGCAAGGGGCCGACGGCGCCGTCCAGCTGCGGGCGGTGCCACTCGAGCCGCAGCAGCAGCCGGCGGCCGGCGTCCAGCCGGTTCAGCAGCTGCTGGCAGGTCTCACACGGTCCGCCCATGGAGACGGCCGCCAGCGGCAGGTAGCGCAGCAGGAAGGCCACGTCCTGCAGCGGGTAAAAGAGCAGCGCGGCCAGCATCACCTGCGACAGCACGGCCACCGCGCTCAGCATGACCAGCTCCGGGGACATCGAGGAGCACAGGCTGCTGGTCACCTCCGACAGACGGCGGTGCAGATGACCGAGCCGACGCAGCTCGGCCTCATCCAACAGCGGCGGCGCAGCGGCTTCCACACGCGTGACATCAGCCTGGGCGGCTTCGGCGACGGCTTCGACACCAACCGGCTCAGCAGTGGCGGTGGTGTCAGCAGCGACGGGGGCGGCAGCCAGTACCTCCAGTCTGCCGTTCACCAGTTGATGACCGTGCGCCAGCAGCAGCCCGACGAGGACGAACTTCATGGCGATCAGAGCGAAGGACACGGTGGAGTAAGCGAGACCGATCGTCAGTGCAACCCACTCTGTGCACGATAAGTGATGACTCACACCGACCGGAGGTGGTATTACTTTACACACCCACACTATGGTATGTACCTTAGTGGCGAAATAAATGGCCGTCACGCCAGCAGTAAGCGCCCACATGGCCGCGCCGATGGTGCTCGGTCGTAGCCGCGAGGTGACGGGCTGTGGCAGCAGCTGCTCCAACTCCTTCAGAACGCTGCAGAGGTCGGATAGCACACGGCTGTAGCGGCGCCGGCCCACGGTCAGCGACAGCATCAGAGACAGGTAGATCATGGCCAGGGGAATCCCAATGAAGTTCGACTGGAAAAACGATCTGAAGAACGGCTCTCCGGCGCGCTGATCCTCTCTAAACGCCTCGAGGCTAAATATGGCGAAGGTGAATCCAACGACGGAGTGTATGAGGAAGGCTACCAGCGCGCCGACGACGGGAGTCCAGCCGCTGCCAGCCAGCAGGCCGGCGGCACTCAGCAGGCGGACGAACGAGCGACAGGCGCCGGACGGCAGCTCGATGCGCTCGTCGGCACACTTCGCGTCCCCAGGTTCAGAAGGGCCGGCCGGCGAGCGGAGCGGCGACGGACCCACTCGCAGAAAACGAATCCTCATTTCGGATAGGGAGTTCTACCGAAGACAAGGTTAGCTTTGTGCCTCAGCAGCTTCCTCTCGTTCAAAAGTTTTGGAAATGCCTGCGGCGCCACTTCAATAGAAGCTGACCGAAGTAGGACATGTACAAGACTGGTGAAGCTCAGGTGTTGTTCGATATAAATAGGTCAGCAGCAGCGGCAGCGTAATTGTCAGTATGCCTGCCCTATGGAGCATCAAAAGAAAGCCTCAAACAAAAAGGACAACGCGCTAGCGATGTGCTTTCCATCGTACTACCTTCGATCATTTCGAGACAAGACAATGTTTGATTTCCACCCAATGTAAGCAGCTCGTGCACGTCAGAATGGCCAAGTCAATGGAGTAGCTCGTCGCTGAAGTGTCCTGCCGCTTTTCAGTTCCAATACGCACCACTGCCATTTGTGGACATGGTCGACCATTTACCAATAGCGGTCGATATAGCGCAAATGGTGATTCGTCACTTTGTTATATAACACGAGCTTGCACTCAAAGATTATGTAACGCATGAACATTTGGAATTTGGCACACTACCTAAGCAAAAAGAAGTATCGAGTTTCCAAAGTAAAGGGTACTTACAGGATAAGGATAGATAATGCTAATTCCGAGCTATCCGTGCAAAATTGGTTACCACTTACCAGGGAGAGCATGAATTGCTGTGACCGCACAGCGTCAACCCTTGTCAACTCTGTCTGATGTGACAGGCTGACAGCACATGCCGAATGTGGTCAGAACGGAGCTAGCAGTGGGCCGGATGTGACATGGCTTATAATTTATCCGAGAGAGCCTATAGTCTGTACTGAAACTGGTAGACGAAACGACAACTCAGTGCACACCCAAATGATTAATTGATCTGACATTTGACACTATGTATGCCGAATGGCGTGTCCCTCAGCTCAGTTGGTAGAGCGTTGGACTCCTGGTAGTGAGAGCCCGGGTTCAAGTCGCTACGGCGCTCGATATTTGAGATTCCTTGCGGGGATGTCTTGCTGTTGATGGGAGCCGCCGCCGCCAAATCGGCTGAAATCGGCTGAGTGGGACATGCCGTGTCCGGCTTTGATGGGCACATTAAATTTTGACACCTAAATTATCCTATTACTCAGAATTGTGTGATCGGATCGAAGTGGTCAGGGTCTCAAACAACAAAATCTGCCTTGCACTGACTCTGGCTTTGTGATCTGTTAGGTCCTACAGTGAGATGCTGGCACTTAATGAAAGATTGAGACCAGGTTAGGCGTGCTTCAGCCCACTCTGCCCTTAAATGGCACAATGTTGCTTACAGCTTGATTGTTCCACCTATGGTAATCAGCAGAAGCAGCCTATCTGCTATTTACCTACCTATTTACTCACAGCTTTGTGCACAAGGTCCTCAGCCTCACTTTTCACTAGCACCCTAGGCTTTGACCCCCAGCTCGTGAAGTTTGCCTCTCGTCACCTACACAATGACTGCATTTGAGGGGATTGCGTCGGGTATTGACAGAGTTTTTTTGCAATTCATGCACAAAACAGCAACAGAGATCACTCTGTTACCTTGCCAGGGCATACGGTTCATCTTGGAAGTTGATCAGTAGCTACTTCTGTAAAAACGTAAGACACAACTTATGGTACTGATAGAAGGTACTGTAGGCCATTTCAGACGCGTTGGATCAGCGATTTGGGATTTTCCATTAAAATGTTGATGCAACACCTTGAATTAAGCTACGTCTCTCACAAAGCCTTCGTTATTCACGAGGAAATCAAGCAAATCATTTTAGATTGCCTGCTAATCCACGCTCTGCGCTTACATACATCTACCGGATACGATCTTGTGGGATCCTCAGTAATGCTATTTTGACGCCCTTTCCGTGTGTGCTGGTCCCCGCAGGCGATCGACCGAGGCAGCCGGGGCATCAACTTCGCCCTCTCGGCGCTGGTGTTTAACGTGGTGCCCACCATTTTCGAAGTCAGTCTCGTCAGCGGCATACTGGTGAGTGATGTATTTGACAGAACTATAATATATCAACTTCTACAATGGATCGGCATTTTGATGGGCTAGAGACGATGTGGTGTCATGTGCTTCCTAAATAAGTGGAGATGGGTTTCGATAACAGATGAATGAAGTGCAAAAATTACTTTAATCAAGTGGTTTCAAGAATCAGCACAAACGAGCAGATCAGAAATGTTTGGTTACCTTGCATGATTGACGCAATTTCTTTCCTCCACTGATTCTTACGTCCACTGATGGATATCTGGTGTATCCTGACCAGACCCGACCTCCCTATGACAGTGGTACAGCTGCGGGCCGGCGTTTGCCGGTGTGACGCTGTCGTGTATCGCTGCGTACACGGCTCTGACACTGGGAATCACCCAGTGGCGCACCAAGTTCCGAGTTCAGATGAACAAAGCCGACAACGAGGCCGGCAACAAGGCCGTCGACTCACTCATCAACTACGAGACCGTTAAGGTGAGTGTTGAAGGTTGATAGATCTTCACGACGGCGCACCTCATTGTACGAGCCCCAGTCATGGCTCTTCGTTACACAGCGAACATACATATTTGTGTTAAAAGCTTTACACGTAGATTGTGCTGTGAATGAGTTGAAACCGACAACAATGTTCATCTGTCAACAGTCCCCATGTCCGCTGTCCAACGCAGAATCTGACTGGTCTCGTTCCGTTTTCAGTACTTCAACAACGAGAAGTACGAGGCGGACCAGTACGACGCCGTACTGGCCAAGTACGAGCACGCCTCGCTCAAGACAACCACGTCTCTGGCGCTGCTCAACTTTTCGCAGAACGCCATCTTCAGCACAGCGCTGGCAGCCATCATGGTGCTGGCGAGTCGAGAGATCGTCAACGGTGCGTATTTCCTTCGTCCAAGGGTCTTAGTTTTTTTCTGTATTTTGAGGTCTGTTGTGAGTATGGGGCTCCATTTGCTTGTTGGGAATTTCGTATGCATGATCGAGTGGTAGCTGTCGGTCCTAGTCCCGTTGTTTTGGGATGCGTGACCGAAACTCCTTGAGCAATAACTTAGGCCCGATCACTGAGCTCGATAACTAATCATACTCACTGGGTTTCCTAGGCGACGGTAGAGGGACGTCCTTTGGTAGGAGACATAGTTGATTGGCTGTTTTCTTTGACAGACGCTTTGCAGTAGATCATCTGACTGACTAAATAGTGTTTTGGCGAATAGTGATGTCTGCTGTCGAGATATCAAGATATCGTGATGTTGAGTTGAAATATCGCCCTGGTAACACTTACCCCCTCTCCGTACAGGTAACATGTCGGTGGGTGACCTGGTGATGGTGAACGGCCTGCTCTTCCAACTCTCCATCCCGCTGAATTTCCTCGGCTCGGTGTACAGGGAGATCCGCCAGGCTCTGATCGACATGAAGGCCATGTTCACACTGCTCAACGTGCAGCCCAAAGTCCAGGTCAGTCGACACCGCTCTTAGTCCGCGCCTTCGTTGACTTTTATTATGGTTTAATTGTTTTTGAATGACCTCCTTACAAAATTATACTTAACATTCATGTATTTTTTTTTTTTAGATCTTTGTTTTCGAACCTTTCATGTGTTTTTCATAGCTTATGGCTTGTCTTGTATTTTCCCTCTCGGCATTACGTTGTGTTCTGCGTATATCAAATTATAACGATCGTCATGGGGGTCATTATGTGCATCCCTCACTACCACTACCATTACCATGACACACTTGACTGCGTCCGCAGAACAAGCTGCAGGTCCCGGCTCTGTCCCTCACTACCACTACCATTACCCTGACACACTTACTGCGTCCACAGAACAAGCTGCAGGCCCCGGCTCTGTCTGTCACTCCGGAGACGGCGTCCATAGCGTTCGACAACGTGTCCTTCCGCTACCTGAACGACCAGTCGATTCTGCGGGACCTCAGCTTCACCGTGGAGCCGGGGCACAAAGTGGCGCTGGTCGGCGGATCCGGATCCGGGTAGGAACGATAACGTTATTGCTTTGGTGGTATATTGGAGCTATGTGATGCCTCGTATAGTTTCAGTGGTTGGTTCCGATTATTTGGTACTGGCTTTTTTGTGGGCTTGGTTCGAGAGCTGTGAGTGTCCAAGGTCTGCGTGCGATGTGGGCACCAGCACTGGCTTGCGAGCCATGTGATAACTCGCGTGGGTAGGCGGTCGAGCGATAGCATTCAGTGATCAGGAAGCATGGTTCGGTGGATCGTTTTCATCTTGGGTGTTCAATGTTCATGGAGTTTCATTTTCAATTAGGAAGAGGAAACCACCTTGATTGCGCTCACTCATTTTTCACATTGGCTCATTTAGCTGCTCGTATATTGAGAGTGTTGTGATTCACTTGCGGATTTTCGAATGCCCCATTTGTCGCACCTGCAGGAAGTCGACCGTGATCCGCCTTCTGTACCGGTTCTTCGAGCCCTGCTCGGGATCGATCTCCATCAACGGTCAGAATATCCAGGACGTGGACCTCGAGTCACTGCGGAAATCCATCGCCGTTGTACCGCAGGTGAGAGAGAATGTCCTTCGCAGGGAGGATTTCACGAGCAGAAATCGATGCTAGCCCCCCGTGATACCGGAACGATATACTTCATTTTCCGTCGTCACGGGTCCTATTCAAAGTTTTCGTTTATTCATGAATGAAATGAGAAGTCCGCACGGATTTAGCCTTTGCAATGCCTACTACCTCTGCGTTTTGTCCGTGCTGTTTATGTCTACGGTGATGTGATTTTGGTTATTCCAACCCTCTCGTTTGTTGTCAGGACTCTGTGCTCTTTCACGACACCATCTACCATAATCTGGCGTACGGAGACCTGAGCCGACCCAAGGAAGATGTGTACGAGGCTGCCAAGATGGCTGACCTGCACGACTCCATCCTCAACTGGCCCAACGGATACGACACGCAAGTGAGTCGCTTATGTTAGATTCTAATTTGTGCCATATCCCATCAATTGCTGACAAGGAAGTGCGACGGTATCCGTCCCGCCTTCCATATTCGAGTTGTTCCATCCTTTGCCTTATTAGCGGCACAGCCGTTGACGGTGACGCATGAGTAAGTGTGTCTTTGCTGCTCTCAGGTAGGAGAGCGTGGTCTGAAGCTCTCCGGAGGCGAGAAGCAGCGGGTGGCCATCGCACGCGCCATCCTGAAGGACTCACCTATCCTCATCTTTGACGAGGCCACGTCGTCGCTGGATTCCATCACAGAAGGGGTGAGTACCTTGCACCGTCAAGTGTAGCTTGCCCCAGCACCGTTCAGTACCATGACCAGCCCCTGCTGCATTTACGAAATGACTGAGTTGGGTTTGATCGGTTTAGAGGATATGCCACTATCCACTTTGTTTATCCATGTGCACCATTTTTCCGGTAGAGCTGCGTCCTAGTTATAGAACTGCGTACTATCGGCGTCATTTTCAGCATCGTGGCGTTTCTATTCGCCAATCTTGACATTATGCTCTTTGCTCTTGCCACCCACCGGCCACCACCAACCGCTGTCCCTGGCCCGTTTTCAGAACATAATGGACGCGCTGCGGCGGGCCACCAAGGGACGCACCTCCATCTGCATCGCTCACCGTCTCTCCACCGTGCTCGACGCCGACCAGATCCTGGTGCTGGGCGAGGGCCGGGTCGTCGAGCGCGGAACCCACTCCGAGCTGCTGCGCAACCCCGACGGTCTCTACACGCGCCTCTGGCAGTCGCAGTACTACAACGGCGAGGCATGACAGCGCCACGGGCGGCTCTAGGAAAATGTGGACTTTAGGCGGTGGAATCGAGCTTCTCGGACGGAGCTGTGGCGGTGGACGGCAGAGTTGAGGTGAGGAGAAGCGGGGAGTGATGTGTGCTTGCAGCGGTGGAGTCGGCTATTGCTAGCAACGGGTGACGAGCTAGAAATCAGGCGGCGAGATAGCGTTAGTATTATGATGATTTGACATCAGGTGGTTGTTACGAAGTCAGGCGAATATGTGATATGGCCAGCCAAGCTCTACTGAAGAGTTCAGGGCGGTATATGACTGTTACGTGGACAGGTTACTGAATTATTTGCGTCAGTCTGGCCAATGGTGGCAGTGGTGCTCCCCTATCCCTATATGCCGTTTTATTGGATGATCTACTTTCTCTGTTAATTCAACAACAGTCTGCCTTATGTCGTGGTATCGTCTAAGATTGTTTTCTCACAGTCCAAAAATTTTGGCATACCCTACCCTTCAGAGTCGTAACGTTACTCATATAGAAACAAATTGAAAATTATGTATTTCATGCCGATTTTTTGATGAGCTCTTGACTCTTTCATTTTCTTGAGGTCAGGAAGGGAATGTGTGTCGCCAGACTGATAAATTATGTGAGATATGCCACAACGAACTAATGTAATGGGCCCCGCTGAACATATCTGCTGGACGAGACTGACAAGTGATTCGGACGACAATCATTCCCAGCATCAAAATGGTCCGGCCTGCAGTCGTCCGGAGCACAGGGTTTATATACCTACCTAAAAAGCACATCTGAGCTTTATTGCTGAGATGCATACGAGCTCAAAATCCGTACCACAGCTAAGCACTAAGCAGTCATCGCTAAAATCTATAGCTGTCATTCGCCATCGTTTCAGCTAAATTTTATCCATAGCTGCAGTCACATATTGAACGTTATTGAAACGCGGTATGAACTTGAATGGTTGACTCAAGTATTCTATTGAGTGCAGGATGTAGTTTCGCGGAGAAGGCAATGAAATCAACGACCTCTGAGCTAATTGTCATTAATCCCCGGCTAATGTCCGATCTTGCGTTGTCTCTTCACTCGGTTGATATGCCTCTTGGTCTTCACATATCCTCGAATGTGTGACTTTTGACCTTTGGTTATCAAAACGATTTCGGAACACCTCTCGATTTTCTGTCTAAGAAGGGTGCAGCGACCTACCTGCCACCCAGATATGCGTGAATGTTCGTGGAATGTAGTCATACATTGAGAACAAAGGTTTCAATGTGCGAAGGCGTGTGTAGTGCGGACACCCCTGGACACTGTGCAGTTCAGTGGCAGTGGATTTCACTAATTGTACAAATAGATGCGGGGTGTTGTTTGTCACATTGATGGATAATATATTACCCGACTTTTAAACGTTTTCTTTTGAGCTTTTCTTCTACTGGTTTCTTCTTTCCTGGGTGTTCAGCATTTCGTGCGTAACTTCGACATGATCCACGTCGGACATCGTACTTCACAAAAGGCTCAAGCCATTCGTAGAACTTACAGCCTACTGCGCTGTTTCCTAGACGGCAGTCGGTGTCCGTTTGGAACAGTAGCATTGGAGTCTTACTCAGCTTTGTACACCTACACGCGTGTATTATTTCGATGCTGAGATTGCGGATGGGTCTTCATGAAACCGTGCTTATAATGTGGCTCAGTGTTCACGGTACAATAGTCACGCATTGCCATAGTATATTGTCGTTGCAATCCACACGTTACACACACGGAACGTTCAGCGCGATTAGATAGATAGTTGCGTCGTTGCATCAAGCAGTGACCGATCCCCCAACTCGTTCCGTTTCACAGCGACCGGCGCTTTCCCAGCTAGCTACTGCCACAACATTGGCCAATGGCCTCGTTCCACCTTCATATCCCAGTCCCGGACTGCATTGAATTTGCTGTGAATGGATTGTTCTTGTGACAAGCCATGCGTAGCATCGACAAGCCTCAGTTTCGACACTCAAGAATGCGGCACGCCCAGACATTTAGACCACATTTAGACAGTCCACATAACTCTGGGATAATCTGACTCCTTAGATTTCCCACGGCGAAACGCTTAGCCCGCACCCGATCGGGTCTGCGGGAAGTAGTAGCCCAGATTGCGTTACAACTAGCCATTCGTGACCGAATGCATTCACCCTTTACTTGTGACTCGTGGACCAATCATGGATGCGCTCACTCTTCCATTTGACTCCCGTACTAAACGAGTCGTCTTTCCTACTCGTTTGTCGGACAAGGATACATCCAGTCTTCCCTGTAACACGAGGGCCACGAACGGCTACTCACCCTTCTTGTGAATCGAGCTGGACGGCTCACCAGCATCAGATTACAGTCCAATGTTATGCCGACTAGCGGACTTACACAGATCGTCATCGTCAATCACTATTCAGGCGCTCAACGCCGTCAGACTAAAATACACAACGCACACAGTCCATGCACATCCGTCGAGAGCATTCCATCAGCATTGACGACTGTTGGCTGCTACGAGCTGCACAGAGAAAGTCTGTCATACAAATTGAAACTGTACGCTCCCGTTTGAATACAACGATCAATGACAGATATCGCAATATCCCACTGTGACTTGGAGGTAATAGAGACAACGTAATAACATACTGAGGTGCTTACTGTTGTTTCGGCATTTCTCGTTACTCACTTTTCCTCTCCTCATGCCACACACTAGTTCACTGGGAGCACTCGTCCTCCGTTTTATTTACTCTAATAACCTTCTCACGCTCGGAGCTCTCCACCTCTCGGAGCGTCCTGCGACCTGCCAAGCATCTCTCCACGCGTCTCGCCGTCTCTGTGACTGCTCCTTTCTTCCGCTGGGGTTTTCTGCCTTTTCTTATAGCTCTCCCGGGTGCCCTTAGACGGGCGGCAGCGCCCACAGAGTACACGTCTTGTCGGCCCCCGTGGAGAGGAAGCTGAACTCGTACGGGTGCCAGCGGCCGGTGATCACCTTGTCCTGGTGCTGCGCCACCACGACCGACGGCAGCGGCATCGTCAGGTCACCTGAGGTCACACAGAGGAGGTTCAGGAGTCACTACATGTGGGGAGTCACCTGAGGTCACGAAGGGGCGGGTCAAAGCTCACAATAGGTGAAAGTTCATCAGGAGTCATCCATCAGCGATTAACCGTTAACGTTCAGAGCTGGCTGTTCAGTGTTCATGGCAAATACATATACCTATTGTGCGTCACCATGATCCATCATGCTCCCAGTTCCAACAGCACGATTTCTCCTTCAACCTTGCAAGTCACCAGGGCATAAGCGTCAGTTAGACATTGGTTACCATTATCAAGAAGGCCCGAGTTTGTTCCCTGAACCGTTGGCGGTTGCCGTTTTGCTGGATATAATGCTAACAGCTGAGCTATGAAATTACGCGCTGTTTGTTATTAGTAGCTGACTTAGCATGCTTCAGTGACATGCAACCAATATCAAAACGGTATTTGTTATATAAGTAGGTAATGAACCACCCGGACACATTTCTGGGGCGTGCTCTAATTACGCTAAAACGTTACTATATATAGCCTGTGATAAATTGCCGCGCCACAGAACGGCTCGGTTGCGGCGGCCTGCCAGAAATGACACGCTAAGTGCTTTCTAACGCGGTAACTGTCCGTAACTGATTGAGTCGGAGCCGTGCAACGTGCATGCCGACGGTGGATCAAGGCCGCGGAACGGGTCCCGCTGACCAACTGACGGAGAATGTTCTACTCTCCGCGTACAGCCGTATCAGTTCCCAGACATTGTGGGCAACAGTTTCACTACGATATGCAATTGATCTATTTTCTAAGCTTCGAGAGATGTGTGGCATGCCTCTCCTGACATTCCGGCCATGTGTGGCACGACTCACGTTTCCATCTAAATATAAGCGGGACACCTCTGCGCGTTCCCTGTGGCATGAAATAAATCTGGGTTCCGCAGTGGCACACGGCACTTCCTGACGTTCCCGTCGACGCGTTTCTTACCCTGCAAGTCAGAGAGCACCAGCCGGTTGTCATAACCCGCCGTCAGCAGGTAGAAGGCGTGCGGCGAGAAGCGCACACTGCGCACGTCGCCGTCGTGCGGCCGGAACGTCTGGATGACCCGGTCACCTCTCAGGTCATACAGCACACAGGACGAGTCCTCGTGGCCGGAGACGAGCAGTCGGCCGGACGGCTCGACGGCCAGGGAGGCCACCGGGGAGCCGCGGCTGGCCGTGTGCACGCTGGGTGGCTGCAGGCGGTTCACGCAGCCGCGCGAGCGTAGGTCCCAGACGCGGACGGTGCGGTCCTGGCTGCCAGAAACGAACATGGCACCGCCCCAGGTGCTCAGAGAGAGCACAGTACCTGTCGAAGGGTGAGGGGTGGAGGTGTGAGAGAGCGTGGTATCTTCTGAAGAGCGAGAGACATGGTCCTGAGGGTCATTTTTTTGTGAGGATGGTCATAAAACGGTTAATGAGGTCCATCAAATGAACCTGAATGAGCTCTCATTACCCGTCATTGACCTATGTGATCTAACAGCCCTCACCACTGATCTGTATGCTGGACAGTCCCTAGGTCGTCAATTCCTGAGTCACTGACCCCTAAGCTGCAAGGCCCCAGGTCACTGACCTGTGTGACCATAACAGACTCCCCCAGGTCACTGACCTGTGTGTCCGGACAACGCCTGGAACGGCACCCCGGTGGCGCAGTCGGTGACGTAGATCTTACAGTCGCCGGCGCCGCCGCTGACCAGCAGGCTGGACTTGTTGGACATGTCCTCGATGAAGCACACGTCCCTCACAGTGCCGTCGTGCATCGTCAGCTCGGCAGCCGGCTCTGTGTGACGACATTGAAGACGGGGGAGAGTTGGGGATATGACGGCATTGGAATCATTGGGTGAAGGTGGTGACACGAGATGTGAAACGCGAGACCGGTTGAAAGCTGCCGATTATTAGGAAGGATTTAGCGCCGCTTATAGTGAATTAATGCGTCTTTGTATATGCATGCTCTCACATTTACCATATGTAGGAACAATAATGCATTCTGAAGTGACTGAGTGCAGTTTCACGTCTATAGCAAACTGTATTCGCTGACCTACTCAACCCATTGTATGTGAATAATTGTTCGAAAGTGGCAGCGCTCACAGCTCACAGCTCGTTTTACACGCGAACTCCATTGCTGATCGATGGGCCGCGAAGGGAGAGTGCGGTCCTGGGAGCTCCCTCGATCACCTCTTGACCAGCGCGGGATGATCGTGTCGCCACGCCGCGGGACCCATTTGCGCCGCATCTCGCACCGAGAAAGTGTGCCTCGCATCGTGGGAAATCCGGAGGGTCGCGGGCGGCGCTCACGTTTCGTGTCGCCCCGCGCGCGGTGACATGTGCCGCGTGGTCACGATCGGAAACAGATTGCACAGTCACGTAACGCTTGCTAAACGCCACCGACCAGTCACGGGCCGGTGCCGTTACTGAACCGAGATTGGCGACCGGCCGTGACCACTTGTGGCGGGAGACGTTGGGAAAGAACGGCAACAGCTTTGTCGGTGGGATGCGGGGAGCTTGTGTAACGCGAGTGATCTCGGCTGCAGGCAGCTGGAGTGGTGGAGACTGGAGAGCTCGTCGGATGAGTCAGTCGCGCTGATGTAAAATCGAAAGTTAGGTATGTCCAGCGATGCGAGACAGCACAAAGGGTGCTGCTCTTTGGATTTGGTTAAATGACGGCACAGCTCACGCTTCACTGCCGCGGGATCGTTTGAGAGCTGGGGTCGCTAGAGGCATTAGACAAGTGGGTGCAGTGCAGAGACAGAAAAGTGAAGGTGATCTAGATCCGTCTGGATCATTTGCAGCTATAGCCCACTAGTAGATCCGTTTTTCTATGACCTGGCTAGTTCGTGCCCAGAGCCCTTATTATGATCGCCTACCTTCCATAGTGCACGAGTCGGCGTCGAAGCGCATCAGTTTGATGGTCTTGTCGTTGCTGCCGGTGGCGATGAGGTCGCCGACGGGGCTCCAGGCCATGCAGTAGATGGAGCCCTTGTGGTGGCGGGGACGCTTCAGCACCACCGAGGACTGGCAGGTCACGTGATCATCCCTGAGGGCAGATGGTGGTTGAGCTGGATACCTAGTTGTCGTAATAGCTCGCATTAGAACCTCTACATACGAGTAGAGCGACGACTTAGAATACGAAACACGTTTACGTTTAGGATATGCTTACGTCCAACGTGGCTTGTCAAATGTGTTCCTCCGAAATGTCACGGAGTCTCCTCAACAGCCTTGGGTATTGAAACGTTTAACAAATAGTTAAGCTTCCAGCAAGAGGTAAGTAAATGTAGTGCTGATTGATCGCTCTCACCTGAGGTCGACCAGTTTCGGGTAGGAGCAGATGCGGAGCGTTTTCGAGTTGGAGCCGATGGCGTAC